GTTCAAGATTGCTCTTGCTAGGTCACCGGATTAGGGACCGTCTTAATCTTCAGCTCAAAGTTCCGAAACTACTTAATTTACAAAGCAAGCGCATGCCAGCCCAAGAAGCCCTAAACCCTAAACCCTAAACCCTAAACCCTAAACCCTAAACCCTAAACCCTAAACCCTAAACCCTAAACCCCAACCCCCATCAAGCCTTGAACCTCGCTGGAAGCCCGTGCCGTCGAAGGATTGGAACCTGGATGACCCGCCCGCCATCGACCCGGGCGACCTCTCCGCGCACTTTGGCAAACCTAAGGGTTTACTAAGGGTTTAGGGTTTAGGGGTTTAGGGTTTAGGGTTTAGGGGTTTAGGGTTTAGGGTTTAGGGTTCCGGGCTTCAGGGTTTAAAGTTTAACCCTCAGTCGTAGGGTCACTTCTCTCCACGATGGTCCCTTCTTGGGGTACCGGTCAATAAGAGGGGCCGCCTTATGATTTGGACCCCAAAAGTTAAAAGGGCCCACTGTTTAGGGTTTAGGGTTTAGGGTTTAGGGTTTGGGGTTTGGGGTTTGTGAGAAAAGCGGGCATACATCCTAACAACGAAAATCCCACAAACCCTAGAACCAGAAAAGCCCAAGCCGAAATTGCCAAACCGCAAGACCCTTAACCCGCAAACCCTAAGCCCAAAAAACCCTAAACCCTACCTTAAGAAAACCCACCACATAGGCTTTTGCTAGAATACCCCACTTAGGTACTGTAACCTACAACAAGTAGGCGACATGCATGGGTGCGATTGCACAAGGCTGGGTCCATTTGGTTGGCCTAACGGTTTAGGGTTTAGGGTTTAGGGTTTAGGGTTTAGGGTTTAGGGTTTAGGGTTTAGGGTTGTTGAAGTACCTCTTTAGCTAAGCCATACACCCCAAATTGGGCAGCCAGGTGGTACCCTTTTGCTTTATTCTTGGTTCAAGGTTCCCTTCTAAAGTAACCAGTATACAAAACGGGCACCCTTATTCTACTATGGGTACTGGGCTACGAAGTAAACCCCAAATCCCAAGCCCCAAAAAACATGAGGGGAACATTTTCCCTCAAGCCCCCTAAGCCCATAAACCCAAAGCCCCTGTTTGAGGGGAACTTTCTCCCCGAGACCGTTTGAGATTGAGATGTTCCCCTTATACTAAATACGAATTATAGTACACCCTATTATAATCCCAAATTAGGGGCGGTTAATCTAAGGGGAAGCATCCCAAGTTTGAGACCTCATCCTGAGGTACCGGCGCGTACGAGATGAGTGCAAAGGAAAGGTGCGCAGTTGCAATCTCAGGGTCTTGGGGGGTTTAGTAGGGCCTGAACCCTAAACTTCGGCCCTATTTATGGCTAAAATGTGGTCCTTTTGGGGTTTACAAGGCGGCCCCCTCTTGTTTAGACTACCGGAAAAGGGACCATCATTTTGAGAGCTCGCCATCTATAACTCTTCGGTTAGGGGTTGAGGGTTTCTTTGAGGGGGGGAGGGAGCTCGGGGAGACGACTGTGGAACGTGTGCGGAGGCAGGAAGAGGAAAAAGGAGAGAAGGTGCCAGGTTCCCAGAGCCCAAAGCCCTAACCTCCCTAAACTTTAAGCCCTAAACCCTAAACCCTAAACCCTAAACCCTAAACCCTAAAGGCCTAAACCCCTAACCCTAAACCCTAAACCCTAAACCCTTAAACCCCTGAACCCTAATTGCCGGGTTTCTTAGTGAGCCCTTGGCTTCCGCAGGCGCTTCCTCCATCGCAAGTGTCGGATTCGCGAGAGGGTTTAGGGTGTATGGTTTTGGTTTTATGGCTCAGGGTTTAGGGCGCTTGCTCCATGAACGGCATCTATAAAGTAGGGGCTGCTCTTAACAAAAGGACATGTCTAAAAGTCGTTTATACAGACAGCTGTCAATTTCGGAATTGGTTTTAAACGCAGCGATTTCGTGTGGAGCCTTATTTTTCCCTAAGCCGTAAACCCTAAACCCGAATTCCCAAACCCTGAACCCTAAACCCTATACCCGACTTCCCAAAACTGCGGCTCTTGCCGGGCACCACGTCACGGCGGCGCCCGATGATGTCGACCCATTTGAGTCGCCCGTGGATTTTGTGGTCAGATGGGCTGCAGATCAGCGTGCTGGGCTGAGGCCCTGACTATCAGAGACAAGAAATCGCGACGGCAGTCGAAGCTGCGTCTGCGTGACTTGAGTTTCTGCTGTTTGTCTCTGTGGGGACGCTACCTTGCACCCACTGAGCCAAGGCAGGCTTTGACAGGGAGGCGAAGCTGAAGCACTTCTATAACGGCCAGACCCACATGAGCTTCGCGTTCGTGGAGAAGCGCTGTGCCTTATATACCCCTTATAGACCCTATAAAACCCAAGGGCTGATACCTTAATTTCCTCTAAGGAGGTATGGGACCATATTAAAGAGCCATGTAACTACTCTTAGATCGCCCAAGGACCCAAACCTGCACACAAACAGCCCCTGGTCCTGGCTTGGCAAAACGGTGCTAAACCCTAAAGCCGAATTCCCTAAGCCCCAAACTCCTAAACCTGAATTCCTCAAACCGTGAGCCCGAGTTCCCTGAGTGCCCCAAGGCCGAGTTCCGTAGGTTTAGGGTTTAGGGTTTAGGGTTTAGGGTTTAGGGTTTAGGGTTTAGGGTTTAGGGTTTAGGGTTTAGGGTTTAGGGTTTAGGGTTTCAAATTCTGAAACGTAAACTCGAATTCCCCAAACCCGAAACCCTACGCCCGAATACCCTAAACCCTGCGCCCCGAGCCAGAGTTCCCTAAGCCCTATACCTTGAACCCGACTTCCTTAAACCCTATGCCGAAAACCTGGGCCCAAATTCCTTAACCCGTGGCCATAGTGCGACGTTGGTTGCCGACGTCTAAGAGTAGTTACATGGTCCCTGAATATGGTCCCTTACCTCCTTCAAAGGGTCCTTTGGTTTAGGGTTAGGTTTAGGGATACCAGGACCCTCAGTAGGCCCTTAACTTCTTCCCTGTTTTGGGGGGTGTTTAGGGAACCCTTAAACATGAAAGGGCACCCTTGTTATGCCTGGCTTGCTCTTGGGTCTAGCTATTACTGGGGCGCAGTTTTGCCCTTTCAAGATACCGCGCGATATAGGGGCGACATAAGCAAGGACTCGGAGTACGCTCTTATTTCCTTTTTTGGGGGGTTGGGGGTTCCCTTATAAATCACCTGAGAACCAAACAGGGCAGCCTTTTTTTTCCTATGTTCCTCCTGGGTCTGGTATGGTATATGCAGGGGCTTATATAGGAGAAAAAGATTCCGGGCCCCTTCTACGGGGTCCCTCCTTTTATCCTTCAAAAGTGGAGCCCTAAACCCTCAACCCTCAACCCTAAACCCCAAACCCTAAACCCTCAACCCTAAACCCCAAACCCTAAACCCTAAACCCTAAACCCTAAACCCTAAACCCTACAGGGGGCCCCTTGATGGAAGGTGCAGGAGCTCCTGGACATGTTGAGCAAGCCGCACCCTGGCAGGTGGATGGAGAGTTTAGAGCTTTCAGGTTGATGGCTGAGGTTTTAGACTTTTAGGGTTTAGGGTTTAGGGCTAGGGTTTAGGGCGGGTTGAGGGTTTAGGGTTCAGAGTTTGGGGCTTCGTGGATCGAGTAGTTGTAGAGGCTTGGAGAGGATTCTCTGGCTTGATTGCCCAAGTCATCCTACGCAGTCTTCCTTCTAGTAGCCCTAACTCCAAAATCCTGACTCCCCGTTGTTTTGAGGTACCATGCTTTAATGCTTTTTTGGTTGTGGGTTTTATAGTTACCTATACCTAAAAGCATATACTTTTTTGCAGGGTCTACTCCAAAGTAGGGTTTAGAGTTTAGGGTTTAGGGTTTAGGGTTTAGGGTTGTTAAGGGTTGAGACTTGAGGGTGGAACTGGTAAATTTCGCGAAGCATGCCGGTTCAACACCGGCAGGCTCTAAGTTTTGAAATGGGGGTCGGGTTGGGGGTTTAGGGTTTGCAAAGGGGTTGGGGTTAAGCGCTTGGGTTTGACACTGGTCTGACGCTATGACTGGAAAGCTGGACAGGGCTCAGAGTTGCACAGGGTGGCAGTGTCAGCCGAGCTAGCTCAACTCAGGATCCGCCATGCGCGATAGAAAATTACGAGCGGGATCTGAAGAAAATGAAGGTCCCAGAGTTGAAGGCGATGTTGTCCAAAGCGCCCGCTCTGCCTGAAGGCCTTGTGGTTGCTAAGCTCAAGAAAGACAACCTGGTGGAGCACTTATTGAAGATCCGCAAGGATGAGTCCGCATCACGAAGCATCCAAAGCATGTTCAAAGCGAAGCAGAAGGACGCAGCGCCGTGAAGTGATGTACTTGAAGCTGGGTTCAAATCACATGAGGGCCTTCTCCGAAGCCAGGCTTCGGACGTGTCACCGTCAGTGTGAAATAAGGGTTCACTTTCAGGGCAGGGCGGGCTCCTGTTCAAACAAAACTAGGTTCACCCACACACACACACACACACCTTCGAGTCATTCCCTTGCAGCTGAAGTCTTTTGTCTAAGGCATCCACAGTCTTCAGGATGCGCATCTCTCGAGGGCAAAAGGAGTGTTTCAGTTTTTTCTGCTTCCCGAGCCGTCTGCCGTGCAGCGTGGTGCGCCCGAGGTCCGTGGGCAGTTAACCTAAGCCTCCCAACCCCTTTCCCAAAGTTAGGGCCAGTTGGTGTTGAAGTCAACCCCCGGAAACTAGGTTCGCGAAATTTACCAGGTGGAACTCCTATGGCTGGAGGAGTGCTTTGGGCTTGGCAGGTCCAAAGGGTAGTAATAGGATCTTTCTTAAGAGAGCTGTTAGACTTAGAGGTTTCAGCTATAAGATCGCCGTTGTTGATGATCGTAGAGTAGATATCTCTATGGAGGTTATTCAGGGATTCGTAGGTGAGTTAGACATTAGGCTTGCTAGTTTCTCTTACAGCTTTGGCCAAGAAAACACTATTGCGGCAGAAGCTCCAAAAGCCCGCGCCCAGGTATGGACCTCACTACAAGAAGAACGTGATGTTCCTCTGCAACCACAACTCCTGCCGCTCACAGATGGCGGATACTTGCAAGAAGCTTTTTGGGGGGCAGCATAACTGAAGCCCATAGATCTCTACAGGCTCTGAAAAGCATAAAGAAGCCGGGAAAGCCCTAAGAAAACTATACAGCAACACTCTTACCCCCATAAACCCTACAACCCTATCTGGCCTGTTAACCCGCCCCAAAAACTCCAACAAAGCCATGAAAAGCCTGATAGGGCTCCAGAAGCCCCCGCGAGCCCTACAAACCCCCTGAAGCCTCCGAACAAGAAGAAGCCTCTGAACCATTATAGGGTTTGGGGTTTAGGGTTTAGGGTTCTGTAACGCCCTGAAGCCTCCGAACCATATACAAACCCGGCCCTATAGGGTTTAGGGCTTGGGGTTCTATAACGCCCTGAAGCCTCCGAGCCATAGCAAAGCCCCTATAAGGTTTTGGGTTTAGGGTTCTATAAACTCTTGCAGCCTCGGAACCATATACAAACCCCTATAGGGTTTAGGGTTTTAGGGTCCTAGAACCCCTGTAGCCTCCGAACCCTATATAAACCCCTAGTATGGGGTTTAGGGTTTAGGGTTTAGGATTTAGGGTTTAGAGTTTAGGGTTGCTTTAGGGTTCTAAAGGCCCCTGAAGCCTCAGAACCATGTGAGGATGGCTGGCTCCGCGCCCTGCGCGGCTCCGCCTCCGTGGGCGTGGCCTCCGCCGGCATCGTGGGCGGCACGGCGGTGCCGCTCGGGCCGTGGTTCAGGGGTTTAGGGGCTTGGCTTCAGAGGTTCAGGGGTGGTTTAGGGTTTAGGGTTTTGGGTTTTGGGTTTTGGGTTTAGGGTGACAGGGTGACAGGGTGACAGCGTGACAGGGCTGTTCATCTTCGTAAAAACTCCAAACCTACAAGGTGGCAGGTTCGAAGGCTCGGAGGTACAGGGCTTTAGGGTTCAGGGTTTATAGGGTTTAGGGCTGTTTAGGGTTTAGGGTTTAGGGTTTGGGATTTAGGGTTTAGGGTTTAGGGTTTAGCTTCTATTTACTGTGGTTAGGGGGAACCCTGAATCTTGAACCCTAAGCCCTGCTCAAAACGATCTTGGAGTCCGCCTCCCTCAACCGCAAGCCCAAAACCATAGGCCGCCCGCGACAGGCGGCGGCCGGTACAACTGAACGCTACCGCTTCGAGATCTGCCCCCCAAACCCCAAACCCTAGAACCCTAAACCCTAAACTTTAGAACCCTAGAACCCTAGATTCCTAGAACCCCTAGAACCCTAGAACCCTAGAACCCTAGAACCCTAGAACCCCTAGAACCCCTAGAACCCTAGAACCTCAGAACCCTAGAACCCTAGACTCCTAGATCCCTAGAACCCTAGAACCTTACAACCCTAGAACCCTCAACCCCACGTTACATGTTGAAGGCGGACCGAAGGGTCCACGCTTTTGAACTCTTAGAGGTGGTGTAAGGGTGTAGGGCTTACGGCCCCCGACTTAGTTGGGGTGTAGAGTCCCTTTTCGAACCCTAAACCCTAAACCCTGAACCCTAAACCCTAAACCCTAAACCCTAAGGTTTACGGTTTAGGGCTTTGTGTTGATTCGATACGTACATTTTGGGAAGCCATGGTCCCTACCCAAAGCCCTCAACCCTGAACCCTAAAACCCTAAAACCCTAAAAATACCCTGAAACCCTAAAACCCTAAAGCCCTGAAACCCTAAAAAACCCTAAAACCCTAAACCCTAAACCCTGAAAACCCCAAGCCCGAAACCCTCAACCCCCGAAACCCGAAGGAAAGAGGGAGCCATCACCGTCATGAAGGATGCTGGGGTGGACATCTCGGCGTTCACCTCCGATGCCATGGCAGCTGCTGGGACTGTTTGAGAGTTCGGGCTTCGGGGTCTATAGGGTTTTAGGGTTCTAGAGATTTTTTAGGGTTTTGGGAGATTAGGGTTTTAGGGTTCTAGGCTAGGGTATTGGGAGATTAGATGTGAGGGTTCGGGTTTCGGGGTCTGGGGTTTCAGGGTTCTAGAGGTTTTAGGGTTTTGGGAGATTAGGGGTTTAGGGTTCTAGGGTTTTTGGGTTTTGGGAGATTAGGGTTTTTTGGGTTTAGGGTTTAGCGTGTTAGGGTTTTCGGGTTTTGGGAGATTAGGGATTTAGGGGTTGAGGGTTGGTTTTAGGGTTGAGGGTTTAGGGTTTACATGGGTTGAGAGTTCAGGGTGGAGCTACAGCATTTAGAGGTTGATGGCTCGTTCAAAACTTGGAGATGTCTTTGTGGGCTTTAGTATTCGGAGTTGTCCTAAACCCTACCCCTAACCCTAAACCCTAAACCCTGAATCAAGCAGTTCCTTAAGCCCTAGGACTTCAAGCACCTCAAACCCTAAACCCTAAACCCTAAACCCTAAACCCTAAACCCTAAACCCTAAACCCTAAACCCTAAACCCTAAACCCTAAACCCTAAACCCTAAACCCTAAACCTCAAGCGGTTCCTTATAAGCCCTAGGACTTCAAGCCCGAACACTTCGACGTGGTCATCTCCTGCTGTGGCTGCGGCAGCAAGCTGGACGGTGAGAAGGAGGCCAGGGTTTAGGATTTAGGGTTTAGGGTCTGGGGTTTAGGGTTTGGGGTTTGGGGTTTGGGGTTTGGGTTTAGGGTTTAGGGTAAAAGGTTTCGAGGGTTTAGGGTTTAGGGTTTAAAAAAGCGGTGTGGAGGATATTAGCCCTTGTATTTCTTCATATGTGGGGATTCGCTGGGTGGGTGGGTATTTTGCTAGCTAGAGACAGCTCGAGCCGGAGCTGCTGAACCCCACACCCTAAACCCTAAACCCTAAATCCTAAATCCTAAACCCTAAACCCTAAACCCTAAACCCCAAACCCTAAACCCTACTTCGCCGCATCTGCATGTGCTCGGGCAGGCTTGGAAGAAGCGTGCGATGTTCATGGCAGCTTGGCTGGCTACACACAACACCCTAAACCCTAAACCCTAAAACACCCTCGCCCACACCCAAACCTCAATCTACACCTTAGTAGTAGAGTATGTAGCCTTTAACCTTCTGAAGTAATATCACCCCATAATCCCAAAGGTTAACCTTTGGTTCCCCTAGTCACTGGACAAGAAAGACACGGAACTCTACACCAGAGAGCTCGGAAGGGTATCCCCAGACCCGTAATCCAGCTGTCCACCTGAAGCACCGAAGCCTTGCACCCTCCAAAAATGCCTGGAGCCTCACTACCTAAACCCTAAACCCTAAACCCTAAACCCTAAACCCTAAACCCTAAACCCTAAACCCTAAACCCTAAACCCTGAACCCTAAACCCTAAACCCCAAACCCTAAACCCTTGATCCACTCTGACGTCACTGCGAGCCATGGTGCGTTTGGCGGCTATGCAGTGCCAGGTTTTATGGTTGTGGTGTTGGGGCTCCAAGCCCTAAACTTTGTGGTATTTTACTGTAACTTTAGATCTTTAGCTTTGTTGGGTTTATTGGGTTTCTTAATAGGGCAGCTAAAGTATAGCTACCCTCCTGAGTGCAGCCAAGTAAACTCTAAAGCAGCCCCCCAGCCCGAACTCCTCCCTCCAGTACATTGTACCTAAACCCGGAACCCTAAACCCTATCTAAGCCCTAAGCCCTAAGACCTAGGCCCTAAACCCTAAACCCTAAGCCCTACCGGAACAAATACCTCTGAGGGTAGTTCTGTTTGGGCTTAGGGTTTAGGGCTTGGGGTTAGGGTTTAGGGGCGAAGGATTGGAACTTGGATGATCCACCTGCCATCGACCCTGGCGACCTTTCCGCCTACAAGCGCGTGCGAGACGAGAGCGGCCCGGCTTCCTGGGGCTCATGGTCATGGGGGCCGAGTAGGTTATTTACAGGCTATTTAGGGGGCTACTTAGGGATAGAGGGATTCTATAGGTATACATAACTTTGTGGTACTTTACTGCAACTTTAGATCTTTAGCTTTTTTGGGTTTCTTGGGTTTCTTAATCAGGCAGCTGAAAGTTTAATTTAGAGCTACGTACCCTCCTGAGTGCAGCCAAGATAAGGGTTATATAGGGGACTAAGATTCACGGTCCCTTCTAGGGGTCCCTCCTTATACCCCTTAAGTGACCTTCACGAGAAGGCGCCTGACAGCGCTGTAGGGTTTAGGTTTTAGGGTTTAGGGAACCCTAAACCCTAAACCCTAAACCCTAAACCCTAAACCCTAAACCCTAAACCCTAAACCCTAAACCCTAAACCGCGGAAAGTCAGCCAGCAATAGGGCTTTAGGTCACGTGCTGCGTTCTAGTCTTTGAAGCAGTATACTGTGTTGTTTGTGTGGTGTTTTGGTTTCTGGCCCCTTACGCCAGTTCTAAACCCTAAAGGCTCAGGTTCAGGGTTTTAGGGTTTAGTGTTTAGGGCTTAGGGCTCAGGGTTTAGGGTTTAGGGTTTAGGCTTTAGGGTTTAGGGTTTAGGGTTTAGGGTTTAGGGTTTAGGGTTTAGGGTTTAGGGTTCCTGCGGTCCCTCCTCCACTCAAGGAATTCGGGCTTTTGGGTCTCTGGCTCTCGGCATGGAGCATCTTGTGGCTGTAGGGTTAAAGGTTGATCTAAACCTGAAGCCCCAAACCCTTAAACCCTAAGTTCTTAACCCAAAGGATCCATGTACCTATATAGTATATACTTGGGCCCTAAAGCTACTATATAGGAACCCCTTTAAGGCCCAAGTATATACTATATAGGTACATGGATCCTTTGGGTAAACCCTAAACCCTTCCAACCCTTAAACCCCTACACCCTTAAACCTTAAGCCCTTAATTCCTAAACCCTCAAGCCCTGAACCCCCGAGACCCGAACCCTAAACTTTATCATAGTGGGGTAACATTTTACATTTTTAAGGGTACTTAAACTCAATAAGGAATAAGATTTTGAAATCTTATTACTATCCCAACTATGAACCAGGAACCCTAAAGACAGCGAAGGCAAAGCCAAGGTTCAGGAGCTGCTTGACACCTTGCAGAAGCCGCCCCTTGCGCCAAAAACTCATAAGTTCCAGGCTGTCCCTGGGTTTTAGGGCTTAGGACCGTTTGGGGTTTAGGGGTTTTCAGGGTTTAGGGTTTTTAGGGCTTTTAGGGTTTTGGGCTTTTGTTGGGCGTTTAGAGTTGAAGGGCTTGCGCTAGTCGAGATTCAGGATCTAGAAGTTTCAGACTGACCAGCAGCACCGTTTCCCTCGTTCTACTCCTAAACCCTAAACCCGAAACCCGAAACCCTAAACCCTAAACCTAAACCCACCGCTCTAATCTAGGAACCCAAATGATGCTCCCTTCCTGTTTTTGGGTTCGATTTCCACTGCAAGCTCCAGTCCGCAGCAAGCTGTTCCCTCTTTGATTCCTCGCTTCCTCGTTTGCTGCAGGATTTGCATGATGTAGGGACGTAGAGTTTGTAGGGTTTGTAGGATTTGTAGTGTTTGTAGGGTCTGTAGTAAGTTTGCAGGGTTTATAGGGTTGACACGGCTTGCAGGATTTGTGGGGTTGAAACATTGTAGGGTTCATAGGATTAAAAGTACGTACAAGCTCCCTTGATGCGGGGGTTTAAGGTTTATAGGGCTTGGGGTTTAGGACTCAGGTTGGGATGTTCCCCCTTATACTAGTAGTCCTTAATTTAGGCATTCTCATAGGCGGAGTACTATAGTCCCTAGTAAGGACTGTGGGAACCTCTCAAAAATGGAGGGTGTACTTTTATGTTGGTTCTGGGGCTTCCTGCCCTACACACGTCAACGTGGTTAAGGCCCGAAGGGTCCGCGTACTTGTGTGGTATATACTTGGGCCTTAAAGGAGTTCCAAGGTAGAAGCTTTAGGACCCAAAGTACATACTATATGGGGGGTTTCCGAAAATAGGGGACCCCCTCGGAATAGGGTTTAGGGTTTAGGGTTTAGGGTTTAGGGTTTAGGGTTTAGGGTTTAGGGTTTAGGGTTTAGGGCAAGGTACCGCTACTGTCGTAAACCCCCCCATATAAATACATGGACCCGCAGGGTTAGAGGGGTCAGGTATGGACCGCACTACAAGAAGAACGTGATGTTCCTCTGCAACCACAACTCCTGCCGCTCGCAAATGGCAGCCGCCTGGCCAACCAACCCATCCGACAGTTGTCCCAAAGTAGGGTTTCGGGTTTAGGTTTTGGGGTTTAGGGTTCAGGGTTTAGGGTTTAGGCCCTTGTGAAAGGCAGGGACAGCCTCTACCCCAAAACGGAGCCGCCTTAGAATCATCCCGTAATCTGGAGGGTAAGTCTCCGTGACTTCGTAACATGCACATGGCCGAGGAAGGAACTAACTTTTCAGGCATCGAGGGCAATCAGCATTCTGCAAGGAGCTCGCATAACCCTAGCCCTAAGCCTCACTAGAAGACAAGGCGGCCTCCAAAAAGAAGCCCCCGAATTTGTAGAGGGGTCCCTTTTTTAGCCAGCCTTCCGACTTTCATGGGATGCTCAATGCCCTCCAAACTGAAAAAATCAAACCTTGAAAGCCTCAGGGTTTAAGCTAGGATGCCCAGTAGTACCCTTTTTCCCCTTTTTTTGGGGGGTTTAGGTTCCCTTACAAACCCCTTTAAGAAAAAAGGGCACCCTTTTTATGCCTAGGTTACTGGGCAGCCTAGTCATAAGTTCACACCCCTAAACCCCAAACCCCTTTGTGCCTTCCAAGGGCTCAAGGCTGTGAGGGCTTCAGGGCATTAAAGGTGGAACCCTAAACCCGAAACTAAACCCCAAACCCTAAACCCGAAACCCTAAACCCGAAACCCCAAACCCTAAACCCTAAACCCTAAACCCTAAGCCCTAAAGCCTAAACCCGAAGCCCTAAACCCTAAACCCTAAACCCTAAACCCTAAACCCTAAACCCTAAACCCTAAACCCCGAACCCCAAACCCCAAACCCTAAACTAAACCCCAAACCCTAAAGCCTAAACCCCAAACCCTAAACCGTAGACCCTAAACCCTAGACCCTAAACCCTAAACCCGAAACCCGAAACCCTAAACCCTAAGCCCGAAACCCTAAACCCTAAACCCTAAACCCTAAACCCTAAACCCTAAAACCCTAAACCCTAAACCCTACGCCCCCTAGCAGCGTTAGAGGATGGCTGGCTCCGCGCCCTGCGCGGCTCCGCCTCTGTGGGCGTGGCCTCCGCCGGCATCGTGGGCGGCACGGCGGTGCCGCTCGGGCCGTGGTGTATAGAGAGGTTAGGGAAGCAACTTTCTTAGGGTTTAGGGTTTAGGGTTTAGGGTTTAGGGTTTAGGGTTTAGGGTTTAGGGTTTAGGGTTTAGGGTTTAGGGTTTAGGGTTTAGGGTTTAGGGTTTAGGCGGGTTATCGGGTTTCGGGAGGGTCACTGGGAAGCCTAAACTCCAAAGCCCCCCACCTGTCCCGGACAAGATCGCCGCCCTTTACTGTGCCCCTCCCCCTCAAGAACCCTAAACCCTAAACCCTAAACCCTAAACCCTAAACCAGCCAAGCATCATGAACCCCAAACCTGAAACCCTGAACCCTAAACCATAAACCCCGAGCCTGTAGATACCAACCCGGCAATAGAAACCTGTGGTTTCGCACTTCATGTCTGAACTGGAAGCTAGATCCCGTCCTCACACTGCGAGCGTCTCTGGTACTCAGGAAGGAGGGCGCCATTGCCGTCATGAAGGAAGTGGGAGCAACTAGACAGCAGCTCTCTCTCTCTCTCTATAGCGAGTTGCCGGTTTAGGGTGTTACTGTACGGGTTTTGTAGCCGTCAACATTGAACTCCTAAGCCCTAAACCCTTTAAGGTGAGGTGGAGGTCCAGCCTCCTCCCCATCCTTTAGCGCCCCGACTCTAGTCAGAGTAAGGTTTAGGTTTAAGTTTAAGGTTCAGGGTAGGGTGTTGGGTTGTAGGGTTTAGGTCGTTGGGTGAGTGTAAATCGGGTTCCTCAGGGGCGTTGGCGAGTTTACTTCTTTGACTGAGCCCGAAAACCCTAACCCTGAACCCTAAACCACACTGGCATGTGAAGTAGGGTATATATTTCTCGTACCCCCAAAAGGACACCCGGCATATACACTCACCAATATTGAAAAGGAACCTTATATACACTCACCAAGAACAGAAATATAAACCCTGCTTCATGTAGCAAACAACGCGACTTCAGGTGGATATCTCATCTTTCACTTCGGACGCCATGGCAGCGACTTGTTCCCAAATTCAAGGTTCAGGGTGAAGGATTTAGGGTTTAGGGTTTAGGGTTTAGGGTAGGGAATGAGGGAATGAGGGAATGAGGGAATGAGGGAATGAGGGAATGAGGGAATGAGGGAATGAGGGAATGAGGTACCCTATATAATCCCTTAATGGGTATACGTAGGGCCCTCATTCCCTCACTCCCTAATAAGAACTAGGGGGTCGTAGCGTTTCGGGTTGTAGGAGTTTTCGGGGTTTAGGGTTTTGGGGTTCTGGGTGTTGGGTTGTTTTTGTTGTGTTTGGGTTTGAAGGTTTTGGGCGTTTAGGGTGTAGGGTAAGGAGGCTAGGGTTTTGGCTTTAGAGTTTTCGCATGTTGCACATCAGTCAAGTTCTCAAACCCTAAACCCTAAACCCTAAACCCTACACCCTACACCCTAAACCCTAGTAGTACTATGTGAACTCTGTGCCTGATAGCCCTAGAAGCAAACCCAAGACCCGGAAGCTCTAAATCTCAGGCACTGAGCCCCGCAAGACCCTAGACCTCCAACCCTATAAACCCTAAACCTTACATCCTAAACCCTGAACCCTAAACCCTAAAACCCTAAACCCTGAACCCTAAACTCTAAACCTCGAACCCTATAAGCCCTAAACCTTACATCCTAAACCCTAAGCCCTGAAGCCTGATCTCTAAGCCTTGAGCCAGGAGCCCCAAGTCCTGAACCCATATGAAGCAGGGTTTAGGGTTTAGGGTTTAGGGTGAAGGGTTGAGGGTTGAGGGTTATTGGTGAGTGTATATAAGTTAACATTGGTGAGTGTATATACTTGGTGTCCTTTTGAGGGGGTACAAGAAATACATACCCTACTTCATATGTGTAGTGTATGTAAGGGTTGTATGGCAAGGGACCCAAACCCTAAACCCTGAACCTGAAACAAGGGTTGTAGAACAAGGGACCCAAGTCTTAGGGCCCATACTTGGAACCCTTTGATTTCGGGTGTCTAGGGTTTCAAGCACTCCTGTGGTTCGAGTCCAGGGTGTACCCTCAACCCTAAACCCTGAACCAGGGTTTGATGTCCCTTAGCCCTATAGCTGCAGTTTAGGGTTGAGGGTTTGGGTTTAGGGTTTAGGGTTTAGGGTTTAGGGGTAGAGATCAGGGCTCAGAGGCCTGAAAGAAGCTCTGGCTAGCAAACTTACGTTTCATTTGCCAGTGGCCCATCGAGTTCTATATGTGCGTTTATGGATTAGGGCTTTAAGGGTCCCTTCCTGGGGCCTTATGTTAAGGGTGCCGTACTATATAGAGATTTAGGAAGTGGACCCTCATTTTCAGAGCTACCCATGTACTTAGACTCGAAGACCAGAGTAAGGTTGTGGGTTTTAGGGTTTGGCTGGTTGTAGGGTTTAGCCCTAAACCCTAAACCCTAAACCCTAAACCCTAAACCCTAAACCCTAAACCCTAAACCCTAAGATGGCGCATGACTTCAACCAGAGTTTGGGTGATGTAACCCTGCCCGGCTGCTTGCTTGCATGACCGTCGGCCATCAGACGTTCAGAAGAAAAGCTCCCTTAGGTACCCTGTGCCCTGTACTCTCTCATTCAGAGGTTCATGTCGTTCACAAAGGTCACCCGAGCCAAGGCACAAGGCCAAAATATGGCCGACCTCGCACCAGGATTTCGGGCCATGGGTCGTGGGTCTCCAGAGGAACGGAAGGTCAAACGTCAGCGCCTTGACGAGTTTGATGGCCTTACTGCCTGCCGACAGTTGACGGTCTGTGGAGTCGCTGGTTCCGAAGTGCAGCTTCCTCTTGAAGACAACATGACCGTGGAAGACTTGCGCAAGAGTGTCGCAGGAAGGATCGGCTTGCGGTTAGGTGGCATGCTTGTCCTGGCGGCTGGCGGCAATACCCTGGACGATTCCAAGCCGCTGTTGGAGCAAGTTCAGCTCGATGTCATCACGTATGTGGTTCAACAGGTCGCCCTTGCCATGTTCATTGTTTAAGGTTTTGGGTGCAAGAGGGTCCTATTTTTCTAAGGGTTTAAGGGGCCAACCTAGGTTGCCCTTGGCATTGTCATGTTTAAACATATGGGTTCGTTCGTTTTTGCGGGGCCCAGGTTTCAGAAGGGCACACGGGCTGCCCACCCGCCAAACATACCCCGAAACATACCCTCGAGACATACCCCAAAACATACCTCCGAAATTGCGGGTAAAGTAGCCGCGAAATATCCCAAACATACCCCCGAAGCATACCCCGAAAAGACCCGCGAAACATACCCTGATCCCCACACCTGTCCCCCCCCCCCCCCCGCCCTATTATCGAGCAAACCCATATGTTTTCCCTCATGGCGTGGGTGCAAGAGGATCCTGTTTTGGGATTTTCGTCGGAGGTTTTAAGGGGACACCTAGGTTGGTGCAGGGCACGCAGCAGCTGCGTTTCTGCGAGCTCGTGACGGCCAACGCCTGAGCATGATGGATGTACATGCGAAGGACGCAATCTCTTCGTTGAAAGTTCACAGTGGGCGCAGTCTCAAGAATGTTGAGCTGCCAAAGAAATTGCAGTCCCTGAGCTTCGGAGACTCTTTCAACCAGAGCTTGGAGAACGTGGCCTTGCCTGGCAGCTTGCAGTCCTTGAGCTTCGGATTCGGTTTCAACCAGAGTTTGGAGAATGTGGCCTTGCCTGGCACCTTGCAGTCCTTGAGCTTCGGAATTGCTTTCAACCAGAGTTTGGAGAACGTGGCCTTGCCTGGCAGCTTGCAGTCCTTGCGCTTCGGAGGCCTTTTCGACCGGAGCGTGGCGAATATGGCCTTGCCTGGCAGCTTGCAGTTCTTGAGCTTGGGAAACGCCTTCAACCAGAGCTTGGAGAATTTGGCCTTGCCTGGCAGCTTGCAGTCCTTGAGCTTCGGAGTTCGTTTCAACCAGAGTCTGGAGAATGTTGCCTTGCCTGGCAGCTTGCAGTCCCTGAGCTTCGGAGTTCGTTTCAACCAGAGTCTGGAGA